GTATATAAAATCAAACAAAGTCTGATGGATCCGTTGAGCATTATAAAGCCATACTTGTTGCTGAATGGTACACGCAAAAGTATGGTATGAATTATGAGGAGATTTTTGCTCGTGTTGCAAAAATGATGTTGTTCGTACCTTGATTGCAGTTTCTTCCATTCGCTAATGGAAGATTTATTATAAGGATATCAAGAATGCATTCTTGAATGGTGATCTTCATGAGGAAGTATACATGTCTCCTCCTCCTGATATTGCTCATCAACCAGGTGAAGTTTATCGACTTCGAAAAGCACTATATGGCCTCAAATAAGCCCCTCGTGCTTGGTTTGAGAAATTTTCTATAATGATTAATTTTCTTGGTTTTCAACCAAGTAACCATGACTCGACTCTATTTTTTCGATGTACGACTGCAGGTCGAATTATTCTTTCCTTATATGTTGATGACATGATTATTACCGGTGATGATTATGATGGTATATAGTCTTTAAAGTGTGATTTGGATCACCATTTTTCTATGAAAGACTTGGGTTTGCTAAGTTATTTATTGTGGATTGAAGTTGCTCCGTTTCCATAGGGTTATCTTGTATCTCAAACGAAGTATATTTCATATTTGTTTCAACGCGCACGACTCACGGATAATCAAATAGTTGATACGCCTATAGAGAGTAATGCAAAGTATTCTCCAACTGATGGTGTCCTCTTATCATATCCAAGCCTTTATAGTACCATTGTAGGGAGTTTGGTTTACCTGACTGTCACTAGACCTGATATTGCTTATGCAGTTCATGTGGTTAGCCATTTTGTCACTGCCCTTCCTACCGTTGATCGAGGAGTTGTTCTTCGTATTTTGAGATATCTTCGTGGTACTCAGTTTCACACCCTTGTGTTTTCATCTACATCCTCTCTTGAACTGCGTGCCTATAGTGATGCTAATTGGGATAGTGATATTTATGATCGTAAGTACACTACTGGGTATTATGTTTTTCTTGGAGATTCATTGATATCATGGAAGAGTAAGAAATAAGATGTTGTCTCTCGATCTTCTACATAATCTGATTATCGAGCCATGATTATCGCCACTTGTGAGATTGTTTGGTTGAGATGGCTTCTTACAGATATGGGCGTTCGCATCTCTCACCCTACCCCTTTGTATTGTGACAACGAGAGTGTGATAATAATTGTCAAGAATTCAATGTTCCGTGAGCGCACAAAACACATTGAGATTGATTGTCATTTCACACAACATCATCTCCAGAAGAGCACTATCTCCCTTCCTTATGTTCCTTCCACTTTCCAGATTACTAATATTCTTACGATGCCTTTGACTGCCCCTCGATTTCATTTTCTGTCTGACAAACTCTCAATGTTTATTGTTGTTGTATTGTGAGTTTGAGGGGGGATGTTAGCCTAATAAGGTTTTGGGCTTTATTTTTATGTTGACACATTAGCTATAAAATCCTAATTAGTTTATCTATATATTATGTTTTTTCCTTTTATTTATCTTGTACATCTCAATTGATAATAATATTAAACTCTAGGCATTATTGTTTGTTTGATTTTTTTTGTATGCATTATATATATATATCATGTAATTTTTTTTCTAGGGCATGCACATGCTTACAAAGATCGCTGTGAGATTGGACAATTGTTAGGCTATCACTATCCAATCTTACATACGGTAGGTGCTTCAAATCTTAGCAAACCTTTGATTAATGCTACAAGTATCTTGAAATTTATATAATTTAACAACACACGAGACAAGGGAAATACCTACTATATGTGTTTAATTTTTTATTTTATTTTTTCCAAAAATAACCATCAATTTGGATTGATACATTTTGGACTAAACAAAAACATTTTTCTGACTAAAAATAAATTTCGGATTAACGTTTTGAATTCTAGATGTTATGGATTCTGGATTGACATACCAGATTTCAGACTAAAATTTCGGAGTTCAGAAAAAAAAAAACTCTCAAGTTCAAGAACAAATCCGGAATCCAATAAACAATTTCGGAATGTTGAGAAAAAAATTATTTTTTATTAAAATTTAACATAAAGTTAAGCAACGTAGTAATAAATGTAAACTATTTGCTATAGTAGGACATAAAATGATTATACACTTAATCGAAAAACAAATATATTAATTATTAAATACTTCGAAATTATCATTTCAGAAAAAAAAAATTCAAAAATAAAAAATATATATATGATTATTTTCTTTAAATAATTCACTTAAAATGATTAGTTTAATAAATTTCTCATATACAAATTTCACACGAATCGATCATTTTTTAAATATTCATTATTAAACGAATAAAAAACTTCTAGCTCTTAATAACTTTTAGATCATAATTCATTGTCACCAAAAAAAAAACAAATATAGATAAATTCATGAGTGATATTGGGTAAAAAATGGATTATGTCATTCGAAATAAAGAACATTTATTCATCAACCATAGTCTAATTTCTAACAAAAATTTCTACTATTCTTTTGACCAAAATCGATTAAATACTAAAAAATTAAAAAGCATGGCATCATTGTACTTTATGATTGCAATTATATTTCAGCCACAATCTTTTTTATATATAAATATACAAATGGTTCATCATCATTAGCATCACTAACCATGCCTTTCGATCCCTAACTTTTTTGGTAAATATATAAATAATTGACTAAGTATTTTCTACATTTTATTTTCATTTACACAAATTGTTTATTGTTTCGTATGATGTCATATTGTATTTTGTTTTACTTATTTTGTTGATAAAAACAATAAAAACAATTAAGGGTGGAAGAATAGACAGATTAGATTCACAACTTGTTAATCTTCAATTATATTATAAAACTTTTAATAAAACTATATTATTACTATAACCAATTTTTTTGAATAAAACAAAAAGATATTATATGCACTAAAATATACTTTCAAATTTTGTGTCATTACAACTCCAATTAAATATGGTAACATACAATATGATTATTGTTAGCAAAACAGGAACATTAATTATCCCATGCCCAATTAAGAGCTTGACAAGTTTAATAATTTTAATGGATAATCCAACAAGTATCATTTCATTTTCCTTTTTTTAATCATATTAGATATTTATGATGTTTGGTTTCTTTTACAACTAAAAGAAGATAAAATCAAGCATCTTGAACGATGGCCACAAAAGAAAGTTGTTTTAGAGTCTCAAACAATTTACGATTAAAGTCTTTAACTTTTTTCTTTCTTTAATCTTGTTCTATAATAGTTTGAGGATGTTATATTATATTTAAATATTCATAAGAATAGACGAATACGTGAATACAACGTATTATAAGTAAATATAAGTAAATATTCACAAGAATAGAAGAATACGTGAATACAATGACCATGAATAGATGTCATGTTACAATTATAGTTGTCCAAAAAGAAAGACATCTTTTTTTAATCTAAATTGATATTGTCAACCCCACATCAATCAACATATTGAACCAATTTAAGTCACATATTTCCTACATGGGTGTTGTAAGTAAGTTGTAACACTCTTCCTAGGGTTTGTTTGAAATAATAATATATTTTGAAGAAAATATCAGTTTAAAATAACAGGAAAATCTTAAAAAATCTTAAATATTTTTTAAACAACGAATATATTATAAAACTAGCAAGAAGTTAGACAAAACAAAGAAATATTACAACATAGAAAAAAACAAAGATTAAGTTTTGATGTCAACCAATACAATTTGGTTTGACTTTCCTTCTTCTATTAAAAATCCAAAAGAACGCATGAATACGTATCAAATAAATAAGCCTTTTTAGGTTAATATTACCAACAAGCATTGCATTCTGATGAATCCAAAGATACCACCAAGTCGTGAAACAAGTATCCTCCAATGACCTTTTCATCATTGACCTCAAACGCAAAGCTATGAACAAGTTTAACCAATCATAATATGAAGTAAAATTTAGAATAAGCAAACCACACCAAGTTCCAAGCTAAGACCAAAATACAAGTGCAATGGGGCATGAAAAGAATAAATGATTAATATACTTGAATCCCACTTCACAAGTTGGGCAACCAAGTAAAGGGATGCCAACCCCTTTACTCACCATGTTATCCATTGTAGGGAGCTTATTCAACCACAACCACCAAGCAAGAACATTCGCCTTTATGGGAATTAACGAATTCTATGAAATAGGCATAGAAGTTGCAATCAACAAGCGCTCATCAATACAATTTCTAGTTACCCCTACTAAAAAATTACCTGAATCATCGATTAGGAAGAGTAGAGAGGGAACCAACCTTAAAAGACTAAGAAGATCAACCTATTGAATCCCTTCAACCAACTCTCTTGGTTCATGACGAAAAGACTAAGACTAACCAAATTATACCATTTTAGAGTGAAGTGTGATCACTTTCTCCATTTTCAATATGGTATATTCTCATGAATTGAACTCTAAGAGACGAATCTCCTAAGCAAACTGTTGGACATCAATGCTACCAGTTGATCTAAAACCAATTGATGTTAGAAATGGTGCAATCTAACCCATATAACGCATTCAACCCTCCAGGACCATACATTTGATTGCAGCACAACGACCATCGTTCGAGGACTTGGTCAATGTCATTTATGACCCCCAACACACGTGCTGCATTTGAGTAGGTTTTGAATGCCTTTGACTAGATAAAGAAATGTCAGTTTCACAACTCTAAACTCCCTTTTTCTTTATGTAACTTTCTTCAACAAACTTAACAAGACACTTTAAATTCCATTTATTTTGTCTGACTTCTCTACATGGCTTTGTTTCAAATTAAGAAGACAATTTTTTGGGAACCCTCACTTGCTTCAACTTCCTTGGATCTGGATATGACTTCTTTGGAACCTATACCTTCTTTGGCTTAGTGTGAATCTACTTCCTTTTATTTTCAAATGATGCCTTTTAAGGAGAGCTATTGAACCAAGAACATACATTAGAATACTTACCAACAAGAGATCTTTTGATGATTGAAGATGGAGTTCAAGCATGAGTCTTGACAAGGTGAGATGGAGTCTTCACAACTTGAGACCGTTTGATAGTGTGAAAGGTCTTTGCAGTGCTACTCGACTTGTCAGCTTGAATTAACTTGGCAGTGTGAACCTTATCAGGGTGAACTGATTTGTTAGCTTCTGATGTCTTTGCAATACGAGTTGAAGTAATAGTGTGAACTTTCTCAGCGTGAAACTTGTCAGGGCAAAAGCTATTACGATATTCATCTGGATGAAAACTAGAGTTTCTTGAAGATGAACATTTTTCAGATACTTTTTTTTCTTCACGCCATTTTCTTTAATCTTCTCCTTCAGATCAGATATTTCTTTTATCCTTTGAATCAGTTCCTTCTTCAATACTTCAATATCTTCTTGATTCTGATTGATGATTTTGTCTTTCAGATCAAGGTCAACAGTGAAGAACAAAGATAGAAGTGTATTTGGATCATACGTCAGATCATGAAAACATGATAAAGGATTTGCATCAACTTCCCTTTTATATTTCAAACTTTCCTTGTATTCTTCTCCATCAAGAAGATTTGTATCTTTGTTGATCCTTCCAGTTAGAAATTCTTCTCTTATCTAAGAAACATTATATGGACCAAACATACCTGATACAGTTAGATAATACTAAAGATAAGAAAACATACCATACTCTCTCTTCTGAATATCTGATGTATTCTTATATTTGGATGAATGTAAAAGATATCTTCTTCTTGTACTTCTTCTAATTTTTTAGATTCTGAATGGGAATGAAATTCTGAATCTTTAACAGATCCTAAAAAATGTTCTATCCTGATTTGATACCAGTTGAAGGTCCCAAACACTTTGTAGATTCATAGATCAAATATAAACAAGAAAGAATAATAAAGAACAATGAAGAACAGAAAACGTGAAGAACAATGAAGAACAAAAAAACATAAAGAAAGAAAGAGACTCTCCAAATTGATATTTCACTAAGAATGAGTTTTTGTCTTCACTAAGAAGACGAGTTGTCACAAATACGGTCATGAAACCAAGCGGTTTACAAGACGCTCAACATTAGGGTTTAACCCTAATGTTGTATATATACTAATCTAATCTAGTGAATCCCTTCAATCAAGGGACTGTACCTAATCTAAATATAAATTGAACATGTAAATAATGAATGGATCAGATTAGATCTTCTGCAGATTTGGATATCAACACCAGCACATCAAAAGCTGATCAGAGCATTAGCTTCAGCTTCAGTCATCAGCGTCACGGTTAGGCTGATCAACTTCAGCTTTAGATAGTGAATGGCCATTAGTGAGTATCATCGGCGTATTATCTAATTAGTGTGTCATCAGTGTATAACCATCAGCGTCTGGACAAACTGATCAATCTTTAGTAGATGATGTCTTCATGCCTTTGGTGCTGATAGAGTCTTTAGGGTCTTTCAGTCATTAGTCGATGTTCTTTAGTTTTCAACATAGAACTTCCATCAACATATCTTCAGATTAACTAACTAACTATAACTATACAATATATATTTTGCATCATCAAATATATACAAATGAGTGAACCAACAAAAAGAATTAGGGTTTCAAGGAGTCAAAATGTTGGATTTTAGAAAACACGGAGCCACACGACGTGATATAGGTTATATGAAAACTTTTGTTCGGGATTGGTCTCACGACATGAGACATAGAGGCTCACGACGTGAGAACTTATGCAGCCCAATCCCATGATCTTTTAGGGTTTCCTTCGTATTTAAGCACCTCTAAACCCATTCTAGGGTTCATTATCAGCCTCCAAAACCCTCTTCCACCTCATAAAACCCTAGCCTTCATCCATTTCTTGATTCTTGGTTATTTTGGAGCCTTTCTTGGTTTGAAGAAGAAGAGAAGGTGATCTTTTAAAGAGGCTTGCAAGCAATCATCATCATCATCATCACCTCATATTGTTTCTGGACCCTTGTAAGTGTCAAAGCTTCCACCTTTATTATTGTTTGCGACTAGATCTAAGTTTTATCCCACTCTTCTCCTTGGTTGAGCAAGTTTGAATGAATGGAAAGTTAGGGTAAAATGCTTAATGGATTAAGGAATTAAATTTTTTGATTTTTGGCTTCCGACTGTGCTCATGACTTGAGACATAGGGTCTCACAATGTGAGGTTTTAATGACCCCATTTTCTGTTAAGCTTCTTAGATCTTACGTCATGAGAGGAGGCTGCTCACGATGTGGGATAAACTCTAGTGACTTTTCTTGTCTGAGTTGTCTGAGTGGAATTGAGATGAGTTGGAATCGAACTGAGTGAGCTCTCACGACGTGACCAAGGGTTGGTCACAACGTGAGGCTGAATAATTGACATTATGGTTTGTTGACTTTGACTTTAACCATTGACTTATGACTTGGGTTGACTTTTGGCTAAGATGGTTGATTTCAGTATGTATTCTAAGGTTGGGCCTTGTATGTTGTGATAGGAGCAATGTAATGGTGGTTGCATGGCTTTGAGTTGGGTGTTAGTCGACTTTGTGATTTAGGTGAGTCTTCTCACTGTACTTGTGGGTCGAAGGCACAAATGTCGTCCCATTAGGATATGTTATATAGAATGCTAGTTGTCTTTGTGACCCTTGTATTTGTATGTCGGGCTACGCCCATTGTATATTGGGCTAGGCCCATGGTATGACGGGATACGCGCCCATTTGTATGTTAGGTTTGGCCCATTGATTTGGAAGGGTTATGTAAGTCCCGATTTTAATGATCCAACCGAATGATCAAACAGATAGCAATCAATCAGAATAAGAATGGAGTAGAGGAAATATTAAACCAAGCATGCACACGTTAATATCACAAAAATGTCAGGTACATCTTAGATACACACACATACATCACCCTAAAACTGACACAGACACACTCTATCTATAGGACCACCAACTGTACATGCGTGTACAGCCGTACACACGAGTCTGGTCGTACATAGCCACACAACAAGCTACAAACACCATTACAAATCAGAAAAATACAGTTTCCTAGAAAAGCAAAGTATAAACCATAATTTTAGACCCAACAATCTCCCCCTTGGTTTATAGCTTTCTTTTCTAATTGACCCAACAACCCTTCCCCCCCCCCTAAAAGGTAGTTGGCTTTTCTTGTTAATCATCATTGGGAGCTTGGCTTCATCATTAATCTTTGATATCTTCAGGACTTCAAGATGAACATATGAATCTTTAATAAACGACTTCATCTTGAGCACTTGGGCTTTTCTTCATAATTTGGCTTTGAACACACATTGAGTGAGGAGGCTTCTTGTACTAACTCTTGAAAGATAGCACATTCAGCTTGAGAATCTTTAGAGAGAACAATAGAAAGAAACAATCTTCTAGATCACTTCAGCAGGTTCATAGATAGCAACAGACTGATTGAGGAGGCTTCAATGCAATCTGTCACATAATTTTCAATTGCTTGACCTTACTTCTGAAGAAAGATTGAATGTTGAAAGAATAATCTTCATTTCTTGCTCCTTCAAATGAAAATTCTTCGACACTCACGGGTGAAGTCTTGGTTCAGAAATTCTTGATACAGTCTCCATAAGTCTCATCTACATGTGATTTCACTTTTCAAGACAAAACAAATTTTGATATAAACTAAAAACTAAAAACAAAGTTAGCACACAATATTTTTGGAGTTTTCATATTTTCTGAAACATAAAACAGAAACAAAAATATTTTTGGATTTTTCAAATTTTCATAAAAGAAATAAAGCAAAAATAACACTATTTTTGGATTTTTTTTTTGTTTTAAATTTTTTAATTCTCCCCCTAAATTTGTGCATAGAGGAAAACTATGAACAAATTTAACAAAAACAAAAATATTTGGAATCAAAGTTGTGAGACAATCTTAACTTTGTTTATCAGTACCTTCACTTTTATGAATAGATCTAGTCAATTGTCGGTATTGTGGCCCACTTAAACACGAAGGATATTGACAAAATTTTCTAAATAAACCATTTAGCTGACAACGACCACGGGTATTGTCGTCCACTTAAATTAAGCAGCAAGATCTATAGACAACCTCTAAATGGTTCAAGTTTAGTTGCACTAGAACGTGTTCCCCACTTCCCGTATACCCTGATTATCAAGAACTTCCAAATAACTCCTTACTTTAGGTGAGTAAACAATTATTGAGGACGAAGATAGATTTAGAGATAGATGCATATGTTGTGTCCCAGGTCGGATCTCTTTCAATCACGCAGAGGGGACAACATATGACTAACATAGATAGAGGGATTGAGAGGTAGAATGTTGCATATGTTGTGTCCCAGGTCGGATCTTCCGATCACACAGAGGGGACAGCACAAGGCTAACAGATAGAAAGAATTTCATAGATAAGGAGTTGAGTAGAATTAGAGTTGCATATGTTGCAATCCAGGTCGGATCTCTTCCAATCACGCAGAGGAAGCAACATATGACTGACAGATAGAGCGTAAGAAAATAATTTCTATAGACCTACTTTATCAGAACCCCCAGTCTCCCTATCAGAACCAGAATTAAGGATATAAGTCCGTACATCAAGGAAAGGTTGAACCACTATTTTAGATGCGTATTAATTTAGTGTATCTCGTGGGTTCCCGTGTTTATCTCACTACTCTATCTACCCGAGCGTCGTATGATCAGTCCAAACAATCCTATCTAAATCCACACTGTCAAATCCTTCGTGCCTACCAGCACATTGAACACAGAGTCTAGACAATTCAGATTCAGTCCCTTACACGTGTTTTAGACTGCCCGTTATCACTTTCTCGATATCACGTCCCAAATAATACCTACTAACAAAAAACTATAAGAAAATGAAAAATTATCTTGAAAATAATTAGTTTAAGATAAACTCAGGAGTTGAGAGAAGAAAACTCAAACCGTAAGTCACTGATTGAATTTGCATCCAGAAGGTCTAAGAGCAGCACGCATAATCTCAGAACAGATCCGAAAATTCTTCATGTCATTAAGCACAAACCCCATGTGATCCTCTCCTTTCTTCCTTTCATTCCTTTCCCGCAAAGGACACATACTCTCGAACAAAGTTATGAATGTTGTATAGTTGAGATATATCCTCTATCATGTGCCTGAAACAGCCTACTACCAACAAACTAAAGTTTGATGATATGCCTCCATAGCTGCTCTAGCACAGAGCGGGATCAGTTGGTCTTTGGAACCCAATCCATTTTGAAACTGGGTTGACCTTTGTCATCAATGCTAGGAACTCTCTCCCATGACATATCATGTTTATCACAAACAGAAGATGATGAAATATTAGAGTCATTAGAAGATTTGGGAGATTGAACCTTCGGTACCCATCGGTAGTTGGGTTTAACCCATTTCTTGTTCGATCGGATGGGTGCCTCGATACTTGATTTTGAATTTGAAGCTGATCTTTTAGATGACTTTGATTTTGGTTTCACTGATTTATCCTTTGTACTTTTTGATTTTAAATCATTATTGTAAACACTTTCAAAAGGTGATGATGATTGGCTGGAAGTAGATTTGGGCACCCACTGGTATTTAGGTTTTGAAGATTTCACAGGTGATTTGGAAATGGTTTTCTTTAGCTTTGAGTGTTTAGATTTCTGACTAAAATTAGTCGAAGATCCATACGCACCCTTTGACGAAATCGATTTTGACTTAGTTGCATTCGATTT